AAAGAAACGATACAGAAAAGACTGCATGCTGGTCGCTAAATATTATGTTTCTTTATGAAATAAACGAAAAAAGAACATATCTGAAACTATACGAACAACAAGGATCGACTATTTTCATCCCCAGCTATGAAGTTCATAGTATGAACTGCAAAGTCGGCATCGCAAAATGAAAGAAACCGCCTGGAAGTAAATCAATCACTTCAATCGGCGGCATCGGTCTCGTTCTCCAACAAGAGTGAGACGAAATGCCATGTTTCGTTCAGTTCCAACTGATTCGCTCTTTCAATTTAGAAGAACTAGATCGTTTCGTTCACTTCCCAGATTCGATCTTTTGAACTAGTTCGTTCGCGAACTACGCAGCTCTAGCTCGCATATATTATAGATGCTGGGACATCATACGATATATCTACAAACATGCGCGTAAATAATGAAGAAGAATGAGTTACTGCAAAAGACGAAGTACAGTGAGATGTCAGGCAAGGGGATACAATCTACCCCACGATACCCACCCTAGCAATGGCGAACGGACTTCAAGGCCTATCTTGTGATGAGAAATGCATCAAAATGGATGGGATATATCTTAACCATCCCCGCTTCGCAACAATATTGTCCGCTTTAGCAGCGATCCGGCCGAACTTACAACGATGCTCCAAGAACGCCGAAGCTATTAGTCGTTTGAACGTCCAGAAGACCAAGTTCATAAGGACATATCACATGAGAGGCACCATCGAGAACCGTACTTTAGAGGTCGAAAACATAAGGAAAAAATACCTACATGTATCTGAGATAACATCACAATTGGAAAAAGTAATCAAACAGCAGATATTAGCAGACGAATTGACCTCAGCTGGGCAGCATTTGGCAAGCTTAGCTATATACTTCAACAACAAAAAATCCCAGTAAACCTAAAGAAGAAGATCTATTATACCTGTATTCTGCTGGTGACAACAACTTGAAACCGCCACCCTTGCAGCGAACAGCGCAAACCGTCTCCCAATATGCCAGAGGTATGGAACGAGCAGTACTCGAAGCAAGTCTGCGAGACAGGATCTGAAACGTAGATATTAGGCAGCGATAGACGTAGATAACAGGAGTCAGCGGCGTCGTGGAAAGAGTGGCGCAGCTCAAGTGTTAGTGGACGGGGAACTTAGCCCGAAATGACTCTAAATGGACGAAAACAATAATGCAATGGAGACCAAGGGAAACAAAAAGAAGCATAGGGCGTCCGCAGGGAAAACGGAGAGACGACATACGGGAAAGAATTGGATGGACCGTCAAAGATAGATTGAGATAGACGTCATTGGAACAGGCCTATGTTCAGAAATGGACGAACACCGGGTAAAAAAGAAGAAGAAAGAACAAGATTATATGCCAATCCTGTCGACACTAGGGAAAACTTATTAGAAAAGATTAAGTTTCATTGCGGTCAAATAAGAACCAATGTTCAAGCATTGTGCAGAATGCCACAATCTACAACTCTTCGAGCTGTAGTGAGCTAAGGAGTGCATAAGATTGGAATGGGCTCTTGTTATAAATCTTGTTGTAAATCCGTATTCAATAAAAATATATTTTCCTCAAAAACCGTTCTATTTATCGTTATGAATAAACAATGTCTTTTGTCTTAGTTTAACGTTAAAGCTAGCTAAATACACTATTTTCGTGTCTTTAATTTTAAAGGGATTTTAGTCCATCTCTGGCAAACCGAAATGCTAAAAATGTTTTCATGGGTACTTTTTAAGAGTTCTGTTTATTGTAAGAAAAAATATCTAAATTGCGTGAAATATTCCAAGTTATTAAAAAAAAATCGATTCTCAGGTGGTTCCTTTAGAGACCGATTATCGATGACGATTCAACTGCTTTCAGAAAGCTGTGCATGTACATATTATGCTTCGCATTATTAAAGACTTCAAAAAGTACTGCCCACATAGCAAAATGATATTCCCTGCATATACCTGAAACATTCACGTGATGTACATGCATATTCATGGGACATACATGGGTTCCAGTATGAACGTTCCATGTATGTCCCAGAAATGTCAGAATTAAAACACTGAATGTTCATGGTATGTTCAGTGAATGTACATGTATATTGTACCGTGGATGGCCGAGTATTCAATTCTTTATTCTGCTTCCAACTTTTATTCCACTCGGTACAACTTTAAC